TCAAACTAGTGACTCATTTCCCTCCGAACTTCTTAAGAAAATTCCCTCCGAAACTTCTTAAGAAAATTCTTTTCCATTGAAACTTTCCAACTGAACCAACGAGCGCATTTAAAGAGGGTTTGTTGCATTTCTTTGCTTCAGTCATCGCACAAATTTTACAAGCGGCACTACACTTTTTTCAAGCCGTTGCCAGTAGGGAACAGTGGGAAGTGGAATGCGCTAGAATCGTCGACTTGTCAGTGACAGAATTACGATAGTACGTGCAATAGTTAACCGGCTTTCATGACATTCGGATTTGGTCCATGTATTGGCTCATCAGAATTAATGGAATTTGGTTTGGCACATGTGATGGTTGATTAATATGCACCAAATGTTTTGTAGCATCTGCAGGGCATTGTAAAATTACAAGAATTCCGACATCACTATAGCTTTATTAAATACGAGCTGACGAGCTTATATTTATCCCCATACTTACCTACGGTCATGAATCGTGAACTATCACTGAAAAACTTCGAATCCGGGTACAAGCTGCTGAAATGGGCTTTCTTAGACGAGTCGCTGGCCTTACGCGTCACGACTTGGTTCGGAATAGTGACATCTGGAAGAGCCTTGGAATACAACTTTTGCTTCTCCAGATTGAGAAGTCACAGCTGCGATGGCTTAGGCCTGTGTTGCGAGTGCCTCCAGAAAAAAAGGCTAAGCAACTGTTCCTTGCAAATCCGACCGGCAAAAGACCCAGGGAACGGCCAAGATTAACCTGGTGCAAACATATGGAAGGAGTCCGTTCCAGACTGCATTTGTCTTTGGCCGAAGCTCAGACTCTGGCACAGAATCGGGAACGTTGGAAGCACTGTCTGACGCGTCTGTCTCCGCGACCCGAAAGGAGAAGCGGCGATGGAAGATGAAGCTGACGAACTCGTTTCTACTAATTTATCACGATCATTTCCTTACATTAACTGTCAGCTTCGACAGATCATTGCGACCACATGGCTGCCAAAGATTAGGACCCAATGGAAGAATTCATGACAGATATAACTTGTTTATGGTTACGCCATTATCGAGGTAAGCATTAACTTCATAGCTGAGACAGCAGAACAGCCGTGGATATCACCGGCCGACAGTATGAACAGAAACTTTTAACCATTTAACGGTTCGTAAAGTAAGATGGCTAGTAAGGATTATTATCTGCAGTTTGATAGGGAGCTATCTGCTGTGATATGAGTTCCATCAATCAATTGTAAAACTTTGTTGGACTTCTAGGTAATAGCCAGTCTCCTCATGTGTCGCATATTAGAGTCGTGTAGCAGCACTTACACTACTTTAGAGATGGAAAGTAAACAATGGTGAGACACAACGACGACAAAGGCACAACGTACAAACAATAAACAACCGCTCATAGTGAAGAACGGAACATACGTAACAAGATTGCGGCTGCAAGAAACAAGCAAAGGAGAGACAGACGACAGCGCATATATGAGGAAGTTACTATCGGCAGTATAAAGTGCTACTTAAAAAAGAATAAAAGGGAACAAATTCAAAAAACACAACTTACAGGTAACGGACTCAGGCGAAATGGAATTCTGCCCTTTTGGAGTCAAAGCAGAGCTCTTAATTAGAGCAAATCATAATATTCTCGCCCCAACTGATGGTTCGAACCATCGATGGACTACAACATGAACAAGCAACGTGAAAAGTGTAAATGAGATGAAGACGAGAAACAGCGTACAAAAACGATCAGAAAATGCATATTAAGGTGGCGGCCAGAAAATATATGTGAAGCAGTGGGAAACAAACCTAGAAATGGAACACACCGGAATCATAATCATACAACCTCAGATGCACATGAAAACAGACTCTCTATTGCGTGCAATGGCACAGTTAGGATCGAAATCGTCGACGGGACGAAACCTGCAGCATCAGGATTCAAACTCGGCATTAATGATAACATAAATTTTTAAGTCGATTTGCATAAAGCTGTTTCTGAATGCAGAATATTGGTATCGACTCTCGCGTTTTACTCTGATTTGTGGAAAAGGAGCAAAATAGTCCTAAGGCATGCATTATGACATAGGAACCTTGCGATCAGAGTCATACTGTTTGTTGATTACTTACAAATCTATATAACCAACTGTAGAGTTAAGCTTCGATGCTCTTTTACGATTACTATTATTGAAAGATTTATATAGCTTTTTTCTCTCACTTTTGATGTTACGCTAGGAGGAATGCAGGTTTGCTTTAATTGACATAATTAGCGTAAACGTTTCTGCCTTAGCGCTGAATATCTTTGTTCAAGAAAACTTCATTTTGTCAGATCAGTTTTTATTCCTAACTTTGTTCATTGTTCCACTCATTTTTGAGTTCACTTATGATGTGATCTTTTAATAGGATATTCATAAGTCGCTATCTACGTTTCAGAAGTATTCAAAATACCGCTGATGGGGTAAACAGTTTGAATTAATCAGTTTTCGCGTGTTGTGGGTGAAGTGGCAAAGAAGACAGCTTCGAACTGCGGAGGTGCAGGGTTTAAATACGCAGTCTTTGAGGAGCAGTCTTTGACTTGACCATCGAATTTATTCCAAACTGCTTCGGTGCAACCAGCCGAAACGGGTGGCAACTCGTTGACTTTTGAATATCATGCGGGCAGCATTGTACGCTGACCATGATCGAATTGACGAGGTTTACGGATTACCCCTGATGACTGCACTTCATTTTGGCATACATGATAGTTGACTATCCTCTCTGTAACAATCAGCACAATATGTAACCGAAAAAAATATTGGCTTCGTGCTAAATCATCTTCATTTATTTTTACCAGGAAGTAAATGAGAACGCTTTGCGTTCAAAATATTGTCTCATGGATGCTTGCAAAAGTTTAATTTCCATCCATCCATCCATCCATTCCCACTCTGGCATTGTGCCAAATATTTGTTTGTCTTTTGCTTAGTTGGTGTTCTAAATTGACGTTCCTTTAGCAATTGTGTTTGATCTTCACCGAATATGCTAGCTGTAGTACTGTTTTTCCATACTTTCAGATAGTTTCATTTGTTCATTTTTGGTTCGTCGTGCGGCTCGGTTGCAGTTATACTTATTTACAGCCGAAGATATGTTTGACCAGAAACCAATAAACACTGGCTAACCATCATCAGGTCTCAGCAGTCTTGTGTAAATAACTTTGGGTGATCTATCGTGATTGTCAGCAGTATAATGTAGAAGGGAAGTCAAATTCATGAAAGGTTGATTTTGACCTCAGGAATAGCTTGTTCGAAGAGTCAAAACTGAGATTGGCCCAGGGGGGGCAGATCGGCAGCAAATTTAAAGCTGTATAAAAAGATCTTTTGTTCGTTCAGTCGAGTCTTCAAAGCTCATTAATCCTGTAGTGTCACACGCAGCTGCTCATGAGGCCTGTCCAATTTCCCGATCCGCCAAGATGCTTACACTTTCTACCCGTTTTGGTAGCACTTCACTTACTTACATTGAACAGTGGAGGACCTTTCTCCTTTCTTGATAGTTCAAAAGCCTCCGACGCGTTTTATCAGGCTGATTTTAATGCGGGTCTTATTGTGATAAAAGAGAACGATCAGGGACATGTTGTAACAAATGATCATGACGAGAATAACTTCGAAGAGAATGGCTCATTTCAACATCCAGTTGCGACGTTTTTCATTCCTAGCGGATTTTTTTAAGCATTCCAGGAGAATTATCAACGGCGAATTGTCTGTGCAACTCCGCCATTGCCAATCCTAAGTCGGGATCAGAAATGAGGAGTGATTCGGACTGTGAGGACGTCTCTTGTAGAATTTAGCTGCTGACCCTCATGGTATTGCCGTCATTGATCATTATACCACCTCGGTCGTTGCCCGAGTTACCAAACGCCGCGCAGCTTGTGAAGGGACTGAGGCAGGCTCAGGAAAGTCGCAGATCAGAACCAAGCCGAGGGCATAACAG